ACAACAGTCAATAATAATACTCTTCATGTAACAATGCCTCTGTAATTTAAGCACATATTCTTCAAAGGTATTGCTGAGAACAAACATTAAGATCAAAGGTGAAAATGTTGCATAATGTACCTTTGGTCATATTCAAGTCTTTTTCAGGAAACCTGGTGAGGCAAATCAACCACAGACATATGCTGCAGCAACTAATTTGATCAATTTACCTACATTTGATGAAGTTCTCAACTACAGTTGTGTTGTTCCCTCTGCTAGAAAAATAATGTCAAAACTTCAGATTCAGGAACTTATTTGGGGGTGGGGCGGGAGGGGTGGTTTATAACAGAGCTGGTGGATTTATGTAATAACAGGTAAAAAATTGTAGGTGGTATTTTTATGTAGAGGTTGATAGTTTGGTTGCTGTTCAGGTGACCTGATTTTGAGAGCCCTTGAGTTGGAAACTGGACTTGTGATGTTCTCTACCAAATTTCAGGCTGTAATATAAGTAAGTACTTTTTGCAAAGCAAAAGAAATAATTAAAGGAATAACATGCTTACTGGTGTTATGCTGTTATCAATTTTGGCAACTCTCAAACACTGGCCAAATATAAAAATGATTCAGAGTCAAGTCCATTGCTTTTGACTTTGTAATAAATTAAAGCTTTCCAAAAACCAAGCTAGACTACAATATTATGTCCTGGCTCCAAAAGAGAAACCCGACTCATAACAAAACCATCCTATAAGCACAAATGTCCCTGAAATCCTTGGCTGAAGATGTACCACATGAACAATTCTCTGGCTCACGACTGTGGAAAAAATTGCTCTTCATTTAAAATGTTTGTCATCAATGTAAACCCATCCTTAATTATAATTAATGGAAGGGGCTTTTATGTGCTGGAATAGTAATATGTTGTCAAGAGTTCAGCTTGGCACACATTCCTGAATTACAGTGGAGATTGATCTTAAAATGGAGCAAAGAATAATGTGTCAAAGATACAATGAACTGAAGACAACACAGTAGCTATAACTTAAAGTATTGACAGACAGGAAGTATTCTATGAGTGACTTTTAGGAAGACATGGTTTGTTCACCTCTTTTAGTTCCTGATTTGTTTTTCCTAACTTTGGACAAAAGTCTTCTTTAGATTTGTAGTTAGTGCCATTTAATTTCTCAGGAACTGAACCACCAAAACGTTCACCTCAATCTTATCTTAACCAGCTTACAGTGATGTATTTGTACTTGCCAGGCTGCTTGACCAGCTGCTAAAAGACACTGGCCAGCATTATAGTACATCCTTAGAATAAAAATGCAGCTCACATTGAGGCTCAGACAAAAAAATTATTTAAGATCCCCAGCTCAGCTATTGCCACTGTTTGCTTCTATGTTTTCTCATCCTTGATAGCATCCATCCATGCACCTAGATTATTCTGTGGCTGCACTCACAGCTGGAAAGGAAGATAAAGAACTACTACAGTACAGCAAAGATTCACTTTGAAGTCCTTTCACCAGCAGTGACCAGTGAGGAACATTTCCTCTCATTTTGCATGCAGTGCCATTGTGACTGCTCAGCCATGGAGCCCTTCCCTTGGTCTGGTGAGTGCCAGTGTGTATCAGCCGATGCTAAACTTCAGTACCTTTGGCTTCAGCAAGGGTCCCTGTGGTTGGGCTGCAGACCCTTTCACGATATTGAAAATGTAGCCTTTGCCCTATTAGAGTCTCAGGTGCTGACAATTGTGCAAGGGAACTGTGTACATCTAGGCAGCGTTGTAACTGCACTCTGGTTATCCATGTCAGCTAGCACAGAAACGTAATCATGTCAGTCTTGATTTTGTGTTTATATATATTTCATGGAGCAGCATAATTTATCTCACCAAACTTTATCTGTCTAAAGAGTGGGCAATTTACTTCAAGGCAATCCTTTAACCTCTTTAATCCATTCCAATTTTCATGGATTTCTACTGAAGACAGTATGAATGAGCTGCTTGTCATTGCTCTCGGTATGAGGGAGGCACAAAGCACACAAATAAACCCCAAACCATTCTGCTTCAAGAAATTATTCTCATTTAAACAAATCCATCACACAAAGCTAAAATACCTTAGAAAATACAGCACCTTTCTTTACTACTTTTGGGCACCAGAATACTCAGCAGAAGCATAAATTACCTATAAATTATTTTTTCACTATATTTGTAGAGACTGAACAAACCAGACCTTCACAGAACATTCACAAAAATGATCCCCAATACAGACAGTCTGATCTGTTTTCTAGTCAACAACCTGTTGAGTTCCAATTGAAATGATAGCTTCCTACCAATTATGAAAAATATGGGTTGGATCTTAGAAAACACAGAAGTTGCTCTTGAATAAAACAAATTTCCCAAGGTCACTTGCAGTCAGTAGCTGACTTGAGAACAGAAACTTGATACCATCTTCCTTTTTCACTCAGGCATTTAACACTAAATGAACAAGCCTTTAAAAATACAGCAGGAAACATAAATTTCATTGATAATTATCTTGCCAAATGTTTTTATAAATATGAATAAATAAGGATGCATATAACTAAGTACAAATAAACATAAGGTTTATGGGCTCTTCATATAAACTTGTAACATATATTTCCCAGGGGATTTGCAGGATCCCCTTTTAGAACATTACAAAAGATGTAGAATAAAAGCTACAGTGCAAACCACTTGACTTAAAACTTTACTATAAATTGATGTGTGCATCTTGAGAGCTTTCACTAGTCCCTAGCGTGTGTTCAGCAGCTCACAAGCACACTCAGCAAGACTGGAGTAACACAAGCTCTGGAAGTGTTTGTGTAAATGTCTATAAATATGATTTCAAAAAGGGTTCTATCTTTTTGGATGAGATGACTGCAACTGAAAAAAATCCCCAACACACAAGAACTTACTTGAATGGATAAAGCATTTCTGGAATTTGCATTTTTACCTATAAGAAAGATACATGTGACAAATTGCTGTTGACTAAACTATCTTTTTTTTCTGCAAAACAGTGTTGTAATATGGGAATTTACTTTTAGCTGACTATATTGATTCACAATATTGACTCTGCCACTCTTGATGACCCAAAGTTACAGCTGTTGCCTATTCTATTGACAAAGATTTTGCTTTTTAAAAATTTTCTAAGATGACTTGGAAATTTGTCTCAGTATTAGAGATTTTTCAGCAGGGATGTTTTGAATAATTTTATCAACTTTAAGCATCTAAATCGAGACATTTTGTAGTTTAAAACCCCAGGACTTGCAAAAATACTATCTCCTGCTGTACCTGCACTACATCACTCTCAGCTTACTAGCAGTGACTGAGATAAAGGAAAAAAATAAAAAGCTAGTCATGTAGAGATTGTACAAATTCGGTTGTCACAGGGAAATTAAGCACAATACTATGAGGACTGCTGCAGATAACATTTGATCACCCTAAACTGAAGCTGAGGATAAAGATGTCTTCTTCATAGACATTAACAGACCAAGCTGCCATGAGGCTTCTAGACCTTCACAGACCTCTTAACATGGTAACAACCAGGCAACCACAGAATTTCAGAATGCAGTCACCAAGAGCTTTCCAAACATTTCATAGTATCATTCCCAGGGAAATTTTGTGAAAGGGCAAAATAAATATCTATAGACTATGAACACAAATGAAAATAATATTTTCAAAAAGAATCATTAATTAATTTTAACCTGTGCATGCGAGTATCACTTTCATTAACATATGCACATATAATTTCACTCCAGTAGTTTTTGATATTATGTGTTCATTCTTTCAATGACATACATACTAGCCTGGGGATATTATTTCCTAAAACATTCCACATGCTGAATGGTCTCTACACCACTTGCTTACTCTTTCACAAACTTTAAAGTGATCGTTGAAGACTCTTTAGCCTGCTTATTTTTCTTAATCACTATTACATCTGTGAGGATGCAATTTACCTAAAACTAATCCAAGATTTCATGGCACTTGAGTGACCATCTTTAAAAGAAAGATAAAAAGAGGTCTTCACAGCCTCTGAGTAGAATTGCAGCAGCTTTTATCAGGCACAGAATGCCAACATGGACAGGAAGTAATTTAGCATTATGTCATAAGCCTGAAATTTTCTGTGTTCTCTTTTTTGAACTGCCTACTGATGAATCAAAACATATGTTACAGTTTAAACTTTGGGGGTTTCTTTTTATTTTTCTGGTTTTTTTTTTTTTTTTTTTTTTTTTTTCTGTGCAGCTATTATTTCATTAATCATATTATGTTCCTTGGAATTACATTTTCACCAATACCTTTCTTACCATTTCTAATCTTACAGGAACACATTTAGCTATGGCAGGTGACTTACTCCAAACAAGCATTTGTGAAAATAAGAACAACTGTACATATAACAAAAGAGACTAAGTGCATAAAAACTGCTATAAAGCCAGCCTCATTTTGCCTATTCAATTTAATCTCTCATCAGCCTCTGAGACAAATTTAGTATTCCAAAGTTGTATAAATATGAAGCAAACCAGAATATAATCAAATCAATCTAGGTTGAACCCTAGTAAGAGATCACACTCAACAGAAGTTTATCTACTACAACCACTGACCTGCTACTCCTGATGTAAGTGGGCATAAAAGCTACAAAGTCACCCAAGGATGTTCACCATTCTCTCTATCAGCTGCTGAACAAGCTTGGTAGTTCTTGAAAACTACTGATGCAGGTGTTTGGCAAAATTAATTCAACATTATTTTGAGGATAAGCACAACCTTCCTGTAGTATAAGATCAGGGGCTTCAGTTGAAGTACCAAGATTACTCTTTAGAATAGAAAATGCCAACACTTTCTGCTTTTCTTTCATTCAGAGTTGTCTTTCACAGCAACAAAAACCACAATGAGGGCAGAGGCAATTTTCTCCCCTTTTCTGGCCATTCAATTAGTAGCAAAAGATAAGCATTACAATAAGGAAGGAAAGCTGCTGACAGGCCTTAGAAAATTCTGTTTCACTGGCAAGGAATTTCTTCTCTCAACCTACCTTCTCTTGATTCTGGCAGAGTGGACAATCACATTCAAAGCAATACTGGCGCAGCAGCTGCTTCTGGCGTTCCCTGGTAGGCATCAGAGATTCAACGTAGCTGATGGTGAGCTGTGTGCAGTACATTAAAAAAAAAAAAGAGCTGGTACATTTTACAAAAAAATCCATATTCTGGGCATGTTTTGGCAGAGGCAAAATTTTTTGCATACAACATTTTTCCCAGCATACAATAAAATGCTAACAGATTAATTTCTAGAAGAAATTAACTACTTTTACATAAAGTGAGAAACAGAGAAAAATAGTTTCCATTATTTTTGTGAAAGTGAAGAACACTTTTTCATGTTTCAAGATCAATATTGTTTGTAATTATTAATTCTGCCCAAAATTATCACTATTTCAACTTTTAATCCTAATTTGGAAGAAAAATAAAAGAAAGGAGAGTAAGAAAAGATAGCAAAGAAACTATGCATAAAGTATCTGAATTCCTTGTGCATGAAATCTCATTTTCTGTCTACCTCCAGAGCTTAAGAGTGTATTTACCACTACTGTTATACAATATGCAGCTATCTCCAAAATTTTTTTTTCTCAGGGAAGCCCCTACTTTCTTGCAAATATAAGTTTGAGCCTGAGGAGAATTCCTCTTATGCCATATCCATTTTCAGTATGTCTGTGATGTTTCCCTTGTGACCAAGGAAGCACAAAAGCATTGCAGTCTGAGTTGTTGAGACTATTGACAAGAAGATTTATTAAAATGATAAAAGAAAATTTGTGCCTAAATTTGTGCCATTTTGAACTTCTTACACTGTACACTGTGAATTCCAATGAGCTACAGAGAAGTCTGTACTTTGTTCACTTTGATGCCTGCCAGAAAGAATTTTACAGGACTAACCATTTGTAGGGTTCTTGAAATGTTTAAAGTGCTTCACAGGCACAAACTGATGATAAGGAAAAGAATATAGCAAAAAAACTAGCTCAGTTCAGACCACCATACAGTCACATGTTATTTAGTGATTATACTATACACCCAACACACTTTGAAACACTCCAGAGGGGTCAGAGCTGAAAAAAATCAGGTCACATTATTTCATGCTGAGCCTAGACACTTCAACTAATTGGGAGAATTTTCACATGGTTTTCAGTTAAATCATGAGTCCATTCAAAGAAATTACAGGAAAACCTGACGAATTTTAGTAATGACCATGAAATCCATTGTCAGAACCTGCATTTCTGCAAATTAGTGGGCATTCTAATTGAATGAGCAATTAACAAGCAACTAAAACAATGACTGTATTTTTTTTTCATTTATTATTACAGTGTAATTTGATTACATACTGAGGGAGAACTGTGTTAAAAGAAATCTACTGAGATGGCAAAGTCAAGCATTTAAAATAAATATGGCCTCATAATTGAAGATTAATAGTACAATCAATGAAAGTGACAAATTAAAATTCCACAATTCATCAAAAGTTAGAAAGTGTGAGAACTTTGTTAGGTTTAGAATTCTATATAGTGTTGTTCTGTCCCAGCTTATGCATGTCTGAACCAAGAGAGTATTAGTTTCACCAGTACTGGCTTACAGCAGAGCAGTCTGTACTAATATTTTACATGGGAGCCTTAGGCTTCCCTCTGATCTTCCTGCAGTGAATGGATGGAAATTGTGCTGCTTAATTATTTTCCATTCTTTTCTTCCAAGCTTTTCTCTTCTGCCTCATTATCTCCAATATCCCTCTTATTCTTTCTCTTTTCTTCTCTACCCCTCAACATGAGTATCATTTTCCTGTCTTGTTCTCAACACCTGATTATCTAAACCTGTCTTCTAGCCCTAAATTCTAGGTCCTTGCATAGCCACTTTTGGTACAAAGGCATGATTTCATCCTTGTGTCAGTCTCAGATCTGTCCTTTAGCCTTATCCTTCACCTTTCTCCACTGTGTTCACTTTTTGTCCCAAGCTAACAGTCCTTGTTACCCTACTCTGATTTCTCAAACATCTTCAGTGACCCCAACAACTTTGTCCTCACTTCTTTCCACAGCTGGTCCTAATCTGCATCCCCCTTGGTGTGGTGAGAAAGATCTGTCTCCCTTCCTTCCCACAAAGCATTTTCCATCCAAGCTGCAGTCCTAACCTCATCCTTCAGACATTCAAACCCCAATTTCCCTCTCCCATCAAAAGCCTCCCAATCTTCATGTCTCCTTGCAACTCAGAAGTGTTTTCTGTCAAAATCATTTCACACACTGGCTGTTCCCTGTCTCTTGTCCTCTGCATAAACCTCTCTGGTTTTGACTCATGTCCTGCTGGGCTCTAGGTTCAGGTGGCATCCAACAGTAAAATGGATTTAACCAAGTTCAGACACTGTGCAAGACAGTAGGAATCTTCTGGGAAAAAATCCTATGAGATTAGTCTATTCTTTGCCAAAATATTTAAGACAATGATTTAAACCCTGTCATTACTATTGAAACTATCATTAGGCAGGGTTTAGTTATAATTCTGCAAAATAAACACAGAGCAAACACCAAATATTCCTTACCCATCCAGCCTACAGGCTTTATCCCTTTCTCTCTTTATATTTTTGGTTTCCACCCCGCCACCCAAACCCACTCCTCCCCCCACACCCCTGTTTTTTCATTTATGTTGCAGAAACCTTGGGGGTAGGAAGAAGTTTCAAAAAAGACATTTCTCGTTCAGAGGTTGCCAAACACTTGTGGATATGAACAGTCACGTACCAACATGCTCTGGATTAAAACATACGACCGGACAGAAAGAGGAGAAGAGGCTTCATGACATTTATCTCTCCTTTTAGTGTTTTAACAACTTAAGGTCTCTCTTGCCCAAGCTCAAATTCCCAGCCCTGCCAGCAGAAATCCATAAGGGAAAAAATGTTTGTAGCTGGCAGACTGAGTGGTAAAATACAACTAGAATGTTTAGAAACATGATCAACCTAACAGTGACTGAGCCCATACTAATAATTTAATAGTTTAAAAACAAAATTTCTGTACTCAAGTCTCTCTTCTGTCCTTGCTTTAATTTTGGATCACTTCATTAGATGCAAGGCTCATTTAACTTGTACATATTTAGGAAATATGCCCATTTATCAAAGGTTGTCTTAATGGTGTTTGCATGTGGGATGTATGCTACTAATTAAAACATTACTTCAAGTGACCAAAGCTTGCCTCTTTATTGCATCGTTTATAAAGAATGCAGTAAATCTTTTCCCCCAAACTGGAGAATATATATTAAAAACATGTATGAAGGCAAGGAATTATTTAACAGCCATGAGACTTATTGACTCTTAAGACTCTCTCCTTAGAAATACAGCACTGTCTGAGCCCTGCTTCTTGCTCTGACATGGAAATTCTTTAATCATGGATATGGTGGTCAGTTTCTCATGTTCCTCATCTGCCAACTGAGGCAGACAATTTTCCAGTACTGCCACAATGCAGTGGCCTTAATGTATGTGGGGTTTTGTTGGTGGTGGTGGTTTTTTGGTTTGGTTTTTGGTAATAGAATATAAGCCACAAAATTTCTAGACAGAAAATTCTGTGAAAATTTAATATCAAGTATTTCAATGCTAGTGGCAGGGGGAAAAAAAGGGATTAGTTTCACCTTCTTGGTTTTGCTATCATGGGTCTCAGAATCTTAGGGAGGGTTGTGTACAGAAATCTGTTCTTAGACAGAGTTATAGAAGTGCTTAGCAGTCTGCATTCTTTCTGTTTTGGCATATAAGATCAAAATGCCTTCTGCAGTGGTACAAAGCCAGTACAACTTCTAATTCAAGGAAAAAATTGTTTTTAAAAATTTGAATGGGACAAAATGCAATGTGTCAAGCATACACAGATACAAAATTTCTCACAGAATTACAGTAACAAAAACACTATATAACTTGGTTGAAATCTATCATGAAAATAGATTTATTTGCTCATCATCTGAAATCATTATTTGTTTTTAGTATTTAAAAAAGTGTTGCTATGTAAGGTTCAGTCAGTTATATGATAGTCTGAAGAAAGATACAAATTTGCTCTAACTGAACTTTGAAGCTGGTGAGAAGCAAAGCACCCATTTTGGAGCAGAATTGGACCTCAGCTAATCCATTTTGCCTCCCAAAAAGAGTAATTGATTTGAAGCCATACAACTGATTGGAGAGGAGGCAAAATCATCTCATGTCTGCCTGCAAAACACTAGGTAGACTCAGCAACTAACAAAAAGTCAATAGAAATTACAGCACACATCTTGATGCTGTTTGAAGTGGTTACCCAAGGGTAGGGAAATGTTGAAGACTTCTGAAGAGTAGGCTGCTTGTCTTCTTGACAAAACTAGCTGATAGGCTACTTTACCAGTAAAGGAGCCCTCATGATCTCTAGACAAATAATTTTTGCTTTTCTATAATCCTTCCCCATATCTCACCTTTCTTTGCAGCATATAAATTTCACTTCTGCGAAGAGCTGCAAGTAAAGGAAATCTTTGTATGCTGTCAAATTAACATCATCTAAAGTTACAAAAACTGTAATAGTCAACATTACAGAGAAGTTGTGGAGGCTCTATCCCCGGTAGAGTTTGAGGCTGGGTAGGAGGGAGCTCTGAGTAATCTGGTCTAGTGAAAGGTGTCTCTGCCCACAGCAAGGGACCAGATGACCTCTGAGGTCCCTTCCAACTCTAAACATTCTGTAATTCTGTAATTCTCTTGAAGAGCAAAAAGGTGTTATAAGTAGTTCTGAGATCCTGGAAGCAAAGTTCAGAATGCTGAGATGACCACAATGGCCAGTCATCTCAGCTCCCCATGGCTCTGTTTTCCCTGCAATTATAGGTGGTCAACAACTCCTTAGCGTGAGTAAACTGCTGTAGTGTGCTCTGACAGAACGCACTACAAATATGCAAAAAGATATTCCTGTATGGATGGAATAGTCCTCTTCTACTAATCTGAGCTTGACTTGCTACTTAGCTTCTTATTTCTGATAAATCTTAGTGCTTAATTTCTATTAATTTAGATCTTAGTGTTAATTTCTATTATTTTATAGAGGATCTCATTTTGTCTGCATCTAGTATAAGTTTGAACAGGATAAGAGAAAATTTCCAATTATTATAATTTTCTTGTTGCCTCATGACTTGAAATAATGTTCATCTTAGCATCTTAGAGCACCCAATTTATTCAGAAAACCCAATCAGCTTCCTCCCTAACATGTATCTTCTCTCCCATTAGCTCAGATCATGACGTCAGTAATATCATCAGCTCACAACAGATGATACAGTTTCACATACATATGTTTGTAAATCCAATACCTGGCTGTTACCTAAACTGAGCTCACCCTGCTGCAGGCAAGCAGAAAGGCAGTGTGGAAAGTTGCATCAAAGTCATCATGCAGAACACAAAATGAAAAGAGGTAGAAGCTGTGTATAAGGAAAAGTAAATAGGTACTGACAATAATATTGTACTGCTGACTTGTACACACCCTCACAAAAATCTTATTTCCCTTCTTCTTCTCATAACAGATCTAACCTAATACTGACTTTGTAGCTTTACTTTGTCTCTTAAGCCTTAAGCTCATTTTCTTCCTGGTAAGACATTAAGATCTACTGTGTTTTTAAATAAGCAACCCATCTTAGTGAACTGGGAAGCCAAGAGGAAAGTTATGGTTTATGGATAAAATAGAAGGAAGGTGTTTATAATAACACTTAAACAAGAACGCTGAACTGAAAAATGTCTATAATTAATAGCTCCACAAACATATATTGCATCCTGAAAGAGTTCTCTTGGCAAAAACATTTCTGTTGGTTATGCAAAAACATTTCTCTTGGTTCTTAACAATGTTTCACTGAAAAAATACTCTACCACTTATTTTGATGGCCTAAAAAAATTTTCTACAATTTACCTACTTTGATGCTCTACTATCTTTGAGAAAGAATACATTAAAAAAGAAGAAACTTCATAGGGAGGTAAATAAAGACTGTGTCTAAATCAAAATAAGTATGGCCTTCATATCCACAGAGTTTTAAGAACAGGTGTGAATCACATTTACATTAGGTTATGATTTTGAAATGACCAACAGTAGGACTGTGTAGGTCATTGATGCATATGAAATTACATATATACACACATCTCTTTGCAGGTCTTATTAAGCAAATTCAATGCTACATTGCTGCAAAACACTTTTTTTTTTTTTTATTTCCAGCAACAAATGCTTATTTTCAAATTAATACAAGTTCTGTTGTAAAAATAAAGTAGAGAATATCTTAGATAAAAGCAGAAATCTCTTGAAAAGGATATTTTGAAGTCTTTCCTAGTGAAACAGACAAGAAAACAAACCTTGTTTAGCTGCTTTCACTGTCAATGAAAGGTTTACTACAACGGCATGGTTGCCGCCTGACAAATGTTATTGTTGCAATGACTTAGGGAACGCTGCATTCCACTCAGAAATACTCTAAGTGTTCCCGTCAGGGTAAAGACACTCAAATACAAACAAAATGAAGTGCCTAGAGGAGGAAAGGAGGAACAGGAATTTATCAAGACTGCTAGTGATTTATGAGAAGTAATGATTACGGGGCCCAGGCAGTGTGAAGAGATGATTCTATTTATCATTTTCCCCCTGATAGCTATGTGCTAGAAAGTGGCATCAATATATCATCAAAATATTAAGCTGGTGGCCCAGCAGTCTGGAATTTATTTAGGGAGATGTCATTGTTGCAGGTGTCTGTGATGGAAGGGAGGACAAGTTAATTACCTCTTCACCAATCTGGATCTCTCGGACAGAGTGAAGTAAAAGCTGGTATCCTTCAAAAACGATCACGCAGTTTGGGTCACAGCTGTGGTTCAGTAAAGACATGCTGTGAGGGGTGAAAGAAAGAACAAAAAAACTTAGAGGAGTCCCCACTGCCATTTCCCTCTAATCATTTGAAAGTAGCTAACATGATTACATCTGAAGTATCAAGCAATTAAGTCACGAAACAAATAAATTCCCTGTTAAATCAGCTGCTCTTGGTTAGGGGAGGAAAACGAATGCTTAGAAGATTTATTTTCACTGGTAAGAGGGGCCATGCCGGGGTCTCTTCAAATGTTTCTGCCTTTTTTGTACTCAGGGCAGGAGGAAGGCAATGGTCTCCTCCAGGAGCCCTGATTCAGGGGACAGGGCAGTGGGGAACAAGGTAACCTTGTTACCTTGACAGTACCTCTCTCGGCAAGAGGGACCGAGTTCTACTTCTGCTGCTTCTGCTCAGTTTCAGGGCACTAACCTTATTGATTACCTGCCTGTCATTGCAAGCACAGCTCAAAGGGGCCAACAATCAACATGTATTTCCTATCAGAAGAAAATGGAGTATATTATGTCCTATAGCCAAAGAAGTTGGTATATAGAGTTGAAAGAAGAAACATGGCCATTGTCTCTGTTTTCATGCATATTTTGGCCCAGCCTCTGTTCTTGTGGTATGTGACAGCTGGGGCAGCACAACTCATTAGGGAGCTGCTGGCACCCTCAAGAGACACAAACATTGCACAAGCACACCCTTCCCTCTCTCTGAAGGAGGCTGCTAACAACATCTGCCACATACTTCTGAATCACGGGTTTCCTTAGCAGAGAAACAACTGACTTTGCCAGGCAAACATTTCTGCCGTAGCAGAAATGGCGTTGATGGTTTTTTCCCTATGGGAATGACCCATTGAAAGAATAATTCTGGCATCATCAGGCTGGAATAAGAATTTTTGGCTTATCCAGCTCCTAGCTGCATTTATATTCTGTCCTTGTCTGATTCAGCTACTCAAAATCCCAACTGATGGTGGTAAAATAGAAGATGTTGCCAAGGGTCAGAGCCCTGCACCAAACCATGTTTATTTAGTTTGTTGACTCTTACAGGAGGTATCAACAGGGGTCTGACTCTTTTGGTATCCCTTCTGGCCTAATAAAGTATCAGTGGTTAATCTCAAGAACTCACTGGAGAGTATCCATTACACTTACTGTGAGATCACTGGGCACACTCTCAAAGCTGTTCACAATGTGATGCACAGCAGGACCATAGGATTTTACCTATTTCAAAATGTATTGTGATGCTGAAGCTATCAAGCCATACTACAATATAGAACCTCTTAATAAGGCTTAAAAAACATTTAATTAAATCTCATCTCATGGAGACACTAGTAGGTTTGATGACAGTTTCCTCTGGAAACATGAATTCATCTGGAAGGACATTTGGCCAGGACTTGTAAACCACAGATTTAAAGTTCTCAATTTTCCCAGCTGTTTTGCTATAACAAAACTCAATCTGCTCTGAAGAGACCTGGGAAAGGGTCTCTGGCATCCCTTGGCAGTGCATCATCATTGAACATAAACAGATACTTCCTTCACAGATAAGGGCTTTTTTCAACAAAAAGCAAGCATTTCCCTAATAATAATGCTAAAAATTATATTTCATTTTTCTCAATTACTGTTTTCATTCCATTATGAAATCAAATGACTGTTTTGCACTCTTCATGACACTATTTCCCATGTCCTCCTAACTACCTTTTCCTCATCTTTACTAGAAGGCAGACCTCAAGATATTAAGTGTCCTTAGTTAAATCTTACATATGACATTAGAAGGAAAAGAAACAGATGTGACAGGCCCACTGAGGTACTGACAAACATAATTCAACCATGCATTAACAAAAAAATTAGACTGTAAAACATACTTTTAAACTACATACTTATTTTCCATATTTATGATTACAGGTTACTAATTCTATGAAGATAAAACCTTCATTGGTACATGCTTCTTTCCTAATACAAATAAGAAACAATAATAAGAAATTCTAATATTAACATCTATTTCCTAAGGGACCTACCTTTTCACCTTACTGGTTTCTTTGTTATGGTAATTTACTTATAAATAGATCAATCTTTTTCTTTTAATTACTAATTCTGAAGGCTCTTAGCTGCAAAATATCTGCACTCTAAAGCATTGTTGAACAGGTTTCCCTTACTAGTCCCAGTTGCACATTGTTGATGTCAGCATTTATTCTTGCTTAGAAAAGACTAACACCTCCATAAAAATAAAATATAAAGATGGATACTATTTAAACTGCTTTAGCACTGTAATCGGGACATTAAGAATGTTTTCAACTAGATTGTATTTTTTTACTCTCCTTTAATTTATTTCCATTTCCTAGTTTCTCATTCAGACATGTTACCTGCTGCTTTGATGGTCCTTACAGCTACCTTGGAAAAAAGGAGAAAAAACTGACATAGATTTTGCCTGTGAATGAAACAGTGTCCACAGTACCTGGGATACAGGCCAACACCAACATCCTGCATCTCTCCATTACTGATGGTGAAACAGTTACAGGTCACCTGTAAAAACAAGGGAAATAAATCCAGGATTACCAGAATCATTTGGAAACCCCATACTCAAGTGAAAAAAAAACCTTCCAAAATAAAATGAAGGGGCAAATGGTAATTAGATGGGAAACATTCAAGCCCAACACTAGTGCTCTTTCATTTTAGAGCAATCACATCTGGGACACACTCTCCTGTAAAACTGCTGTCAATTAAAAGCAGAAATATTAGTATCCTGAAAAAAATGTGGGGTTAAACACATGCAGGGGCCCTACTTTCCTGAAGTAGAAGGAAAAGAAGAAGAAAAAAGCCACCCAACACAGAGCCTGAGAATCTCAGCCCAGGAACAACCTAGCAGATGATAGTGACTACTGATGAAAAGAGCGGCTGTTTTCCATGCGGGCACTCTGCTGATACCAGGCTCCCACAGCACCTTTTAATGAGTAGCAGTGGAACCCAAAGAATATATATATCTGGGACTGTTTTGAAGTAAATAGCAGCTCAGTTGTGGACCTTGATATGGGCAGAAATAAATGCAAAGACTATGCATTAATGTATCTTTCAGATTATGGGTATTTTGGTTTCCACGTAGAAGATCTGACAACAAAGTATGTTCAATTGCCATCCAAGAGAAATACAACCTTTTCTTTAATTTCAAATATTTGGATTGTAAATGCATTCTTCGTTCATATAATCATACAAAATTAAAGTGGTTTTAGAAAGGAATGGGAAAAAATAGAAGATTCCTGTAAGCAGATTTAGTCCTACCCCAAACTATCAGACTGAGCCTTTTTGGTGTTCAAGAGATATCAACACAGTAAATGATTAACAAGTACAACTTTCATGTGCTTAAATGAAAAAACAGAATTTGATTGTGAATGTATTTTTAAGTATTTGATTTTTGGGGAAGAGCTGGTTTTGCTGGTTTTTTACATTCTTTTTTTAGATATGATGTATTAACAATTTTTTAGATAATTGATGTATTAACATCTTCTTTATGTATTTGATTTTTGGGGAAGAGCTGGTTTTGCTGGTTTTTTACATTCTTTTTTTAGATATGTTGATCAGTTATCATTGATGTATTAACATCTTCTTTAGAAAAATACTGCACGATACTGCATATACAAGAAAAGTCCCAGGTCTCTTCTGCACGGCATTGGATTATTAATATCATTAATTCTCATTTAGAACAGAAAATGGCACAAGAGTAGGGTTTGGCAGACATGGAAATGAGATTTGAAAGTTGCAGTTTTATTCAGAGTAATTGTCCAGAACAGAAAATGCACACCTATGTTTTAAAGAGGTATGCTGAACAATTTAATAGTATAACTTATCCTATAAATTGACAAATTATTATTTATGAGACCATTAACCATAAGGTGAAAATGAAATCCTCCTTCAAAATTTCTCATGAATTACGACAGCAACATTAATTTAAATAAATGTGCACGCAGTAGGGCATGTGTTTTTGTAAGCCGTTAAACAATACTTTGATTAGTCTATTATTTATGTAACCTATTCTTACGTTCCCTATCAATTACCAAAATCATACATCTTAGTTATTTCTTTCCTGTTGACATTGGGTATAAAGTGTCAGACAACTTCTGAGCAAAGATTAGTCCATTTCAGGTGGCAATTATCCTGGTTCTAAAAATATTGACTCGATTTTGGTATTTATTGAAAAAATAATGCCTTCCAGGTAAAATAGAAAGAAAGCCAGCTTTTGTGAGCCTTAGCTCTCTCTAACAGATCATAAAGTAGCAGAGGTCAAGAATGTCCTAGAAACAAATGAACTCCTCTTTCTTGCAAATCCCTTATTATTACCATAACATATTTATATTAATGGTATCGAATTTTGATCACCATAGAGTTATAGAGACTTTTTAATCATTTTCTATTTAAGTTATGTATTGTATTATGTGAAAAGTTTTACACACAGAAGTCACAACAGTTTTACTTCTTCCTTTTTGAAACATGCATCAGTTTTTTATACCAGGATACCTTCAAAGAAAAATTTGAGATGAATGAATAGGCTGAGATTCAGACATGAAGAGCTAATTTTAATAGTAGTTCACTGTGAGGTACTTTTGTTAAAAAAAGATATTATCTTTTAGATAATATATAGATAAAAGGAAATATATCTTAGATATTTTCATAGTATACAGGTGCATCTCAATATCCAGTGAGGTAGAAAAATACCATCTAGTTTCTAATTATTTACAGTTTCAAATATAATACTAGGAATCCAAAGTATACAGGGCCAAATCTAAAAAGGTATTTAATATACAAACACAGGCAGAAGCCAAACTGGTCCCATGAGTTCTGGGCTGTACGATTCCGTGTACAATCCTGCCAGAGGCATAGGAACTGTCAGGTGCTCTGAGGTTTGTTTAACCTCCAAGAAGAAAATCTTTCCCCCTTTTAAGCTCAGGAATGGAAAAAACCAACAGTGATATAGAAATAAGGTGTACTGCAGATAGTAACCCTAGTCATGGCTGCTTTCTGTGCTCAGCAAGTGGAGAGAGAGGAACTGAGATTAGGGTGGAGAGAGGAAGAAGATCTCACCATTTACAGTGTGAGAAATTCTGATGTAATGACACTCCTCCACAGACAGCTAGCAGCCTACAATGATATGAAATATTCATAGTCTGTTACCATACGTTTGGTTATCTAGATTTGTTACAAAGTTTCTAGAAATCTACTGAATTACTTCTACATTTCTATTTACATAAACTTTTAGGATGTTTTAAGTTTGAATTAAAGATCTGTTCTATCAAGGGGAGTTATGAGATTTCAAAACAAGAATTGGTGTCGTACATAACAACTTCCAAGGAACAAAATGAAGATATGAAGATGGTATTTTTTTTTTTTTTTTTTTAGAGAGCACCCAAAGAAAAGTCAGTTTTTTTAGCTTCCCAAAATTCACAGATGTAGCTCAAATAACAGACAAATCTGGAGTATCCAACTTTTCTGCAGGAGAGCATGAGTAAGCTGCTTGTTCCTGAGGCAATTGTTTACAGATCAAAGCCTGCTGGGACTGGAAGTTAACTAACTCTGTTTCTAGGGGAAAAAACCCCCAAACACATAAAACCAAGGCAAAACAAACATTTTCTCATGCATCACAGCATTTTTTTCAAGTTTCATGGTTATCTTGCGCTATGTTTTTTCTGCTTTAACTGACCCACTTTAACTGATTCCTTATACTACAACCAGGTTCTGATTCTATGTAATCACAGATTTAAAAATAAGAAAAATAAACAAATCTCGGCAACTGATTGCTTCAATAAGAGCGTTCTTCCATACAATAGTATGCCCCTTGTTGTCTTAAATCCTGCAGTATTAATTATCTCAGTAATTTAATTTGTGCTTGTCCCTCTGAATCCTTTAAAAATTCCTCTCTATCCAGCTACAAAGCACTAAGACAGCATATCCACATCAGAAACAGAACCAAGTGCTCACAAAGTTTGTTATACCCACAAATAAAAAAATTTGCCATGTATTTCAGAACTTCAAAGTGCAAAGACAAATTCCTTGCTATTTCTAAAATTTCTAAAAAAACACATCTCCCAGCATGAGAACCAAGGGAAAATTCTCAGGGGGGAGTCACAAACTCTTCAAACCTCCAAAATGCAAAACTTTGAAATATTCTACAGCAGTCAAGGCTTATCACCATAGCCTATTTGGCCACAGAGCTCCAGTCTATAAGCTCAACAGTTTACAGAATCACTTCTGAGTGTTTGAGTCACCTCCATGGCAATAAATACCGCAAGTTTATTTAAAAGTAGCTGCTATTTGAAACAACCAACAATATTATATAAACTGACTGAATTAAATAAAAAGATTTGCTTTTTTGAGGCTGCGCATATTTTAGAGGAGTACCCTGCACCCAGAAAGGTAACACAAGTAGAAGTCATAATCTCTCCTAGACTGGTAAACACACAATGAGTAAACCAACTTTACTGACTGGCCAATACTCTCAGGCATACCTTATCACCAAACAAAAATTATTGCAATCTGTTACATTTGATTTCCTCTGTGAGTGACTAATGAAAACTCTTTAAATTTACCCTATAAAGAGGTCACTGTTCTCAAAATGTCTAAAGCTACTGTCTGAGAAATCTCTGTCAGTGCCAGACTCACAGACTAGTGGAAGTCATGATTTATTTCGGTGTTTGCATTTGACAGAGTACAGAGGCTTCAGTTTTGCAACATAACGAGTTGAATTTGCTCTCAGTTCAGTCCTCATTCCTGCAGCTTTATACTGAGGATTTGCCTTTGGGTTAAATAAAGCAGAGTTCGACTTGACGGCGGGACATTCCAGATTTGGAATTTCAGACACTCAGACAATGAAAGACACATCAATAAGGGGGTAAGGGAAAGAAAACAAATCATTATTGGCTAACACTTGCTGCACTGATCAAATTACAAACACCAGGGCTAATAATCAATCATTTTGTCTCCACGTGTTCCTGTTACTGCAACACAGTGAGGCAGCTCTTACAATACATGTAAGAAACCCTCCCAAGGACTTCCAAAGGGTATATTGCACTGATATGGTCAATACAATTTTCAGCTCTGATATACAATGACTCCAGCCATCTCTGTAAATGGTGTGTCACAGCTGGTGTATTCTAATCCACCACCAGGAAGAAAGCCATAACAAACCCTTTCCCCCTAATTTATTAACCCAATGTAATATAAATTGAAAATAGATATTAAAAAAAAAAGCCCTTTCATGGATTATTAAGTTTCTCATTCACACCAAAGCTTCTTGGGTATCACTGGTCATGGCCAACTATTTAACAAAAGATACTGCCATGAATTCTTATGTTAATAGACTTCTCAGGAGACTCAAACATTTTTTCAGGAGGAAGGGGTGAGCAGTAAATGCTATCTGAGGGGCACATTACCACGAATGACCAAGGCATACCCCAGAGACCTTCTAGAAGCACCACGTCCTACTACAGTTCTGCCCTGATAGCTCTTTCCCACTGGAAGATGAACAGATAACAGGC